GCACTAGCCTTCTCGAGCGTGTATCATGACCAAGGTGACCTTGACACAACCTCTCATGTTCGAGTGATCCTCTTGAGTCATTACTTGATGTAGCAAGACTCTAAAAGATTGGTGAAACTTTTGTGTCCGGGACCGAGTCATTGATCTGAGTGGCACCTCCAATGCTTCCTTTGCTCCATGCTCGGTCACTTCTTCATCCTTAGTGTCAAATCCATGTTCTAGGTCTTTTGTGCTATCCATGATCGCATCAAGTTGACTAAAAAAAATTTGTATTAAAAGAAAGGGTTAATTGGTTCAATAACAAAAAAAGAGTTAAAACTCACAAATTAACCAAGGTTTCTCGTCTGGTACGACCTTGGTTCAATAAAAAACTCCAAAGATGAATCTTTCTACCTTCAATTGGAACTCAGAGAATTGGAATACACACATATCTGAAAAGCTTTTGTAGAAGATCAAGAGTGGAGCTTTACCAATTGGGGATCAACTGGCCTCCAGAGGAATCATTAACCAATCCCAATGCACCATATGTGGGGAATCAGGATCCTAAACCCATTTATTCTTCCAATGCCAATTCGCACAAAAAGTGTGGAGTCTAGCCCCCTTCAAAGGCCAACTCAACTCTCTCCTAGTGCCACATGACTGTCCATCTCAAAAATACTGGTATACCTACCACCAAGCAGAGTTAAAAACGCTCCCCTCATGCCCTGGATCCTCTAAACTCTGTGGATGGCACGTAACAATAAGTTTTTCATCAATCGAATATTTACGGAGGAAGAGACGATTGTAAAAGCTATCCCGGACGCTAAAGAATGGCAATCAGCACAAGGTACGCTGCCCAAAGAACTTAACCCCCAAGAGGAAAAGAGATCAAACTTACAGTTTCAGGGTCTACGATGCTTCTCCGACGCGGCCTGGAGATCGGATACACAAGAGGCTGGTTTAGGGTGGGTTATTTGCGATCAGAGCAACGGAGTAATAGCACAAGGATCCAATCGCATATCCCGAATCGCTAACCCCTAATGGCCGAAGCGATAGCGATGCGCGAAGCTCTGATTCAAGCGTCTATTCTGGGTCTTCAGAGCCTTAGCGTCGCTTCCGATGCCCAACAACTCATCAATCTCATTAATGTCATAGTCGAAAGGATCTCATTTAGAGATTTACGCTAGCGTTTTGTGCTTCTTTTGGTTTATATAATTTAATGACGATGACATTTTCTTCATAAAATATTTCAATATAACTTTCTAATTTTTTGCTAGAGTTGTGTTTACAGTTGATATTTTAAAAAAGTGTATCGGAAAACTTACTTGAGAACATTAGAGATTTAAATAACAAAATTTTGAATTTCCAACATGATGCTTGAGCTTTTCTTTTTTTTATAACAAAAAAATATATCACTAAGATACTACAACTGGCTAAGTCATGGTAATCTGCTTTGAGAAGACAAGACTCGGATCGTCAGATGTCAAACATGATGCTCGACCTTCTCCCAATAAATAACAAAGAGTATATTACTTGTTCAATGAACTAGCTTTGGGTCCAAAGAAAACGGAACAAGACTAGACTATATGTTTGTTAACACATAATTTACTATAGTGTCAATGTATATTGATGATTATCTTTAAGGTGTTTCTAATATATTATGTTCTATCATTAAAACAGAAAAGAAAGAAACATTCATTCAAACATTGACAAGATTCTTACATACCAAGCATAATGGGCACAAATTTAAATATCTATTGTATTATAATTTATCAAATTGAACATTTTAATTATAGGGAGATTTGTAAAATTACCACACATTAAAATGAATTTTGTTCCAATGATCTTTTCACTTTTTTGACCATTTGTTATCTAAATTACCCTTAACCTAATAAAAATAATTAGAAATAAAGGTTTTTAATTTTTTTTTTAAAATCTTATAATTACAATGACCTAAAGAATAGTCATTTGTATATATTAAAATATTTTTATTAATTAAAAATAATGATAAAAAATAATTGTAAAGTTTGTTTCTACAGCTTCCAGAATCCACGTCTACGTCTATAGTTAGTAGAATAGTCTACTAGGCAACATTAATAATTTTCAAAAATGGTTATTAATGTTGGAAAAGTTATTATATTCTATACTATGTAAACACTAAGTAGTATAGATTCTATCCTATAAAAAAAAAACATTTTCGTCCATATTTATCTACTATTATAATAATTTTGGTTAGAAAATAAATTATAATGTTTTTTTTCGTTATTTTTGTCAATTTCCCTAAAAAACTATAACCATTTGCAAACACTAAAAAAAAAAAAATCTAATCACTTTTTATTCTGAGTGTTGTAAAGCAGCCAAAAAGTTTGCTTAGTATCCAGTGGTAGTGGGATAATTCATAATT